GAGGAGAACATGCTTGATAAGACCTACTCCACTATGCACTCCTCTAATGCAGTGTTGCAACAACAGTATAGAACTAGAGATTTCCCCACATATGATGATCTGATTGCGGTCTTACTTTTGGCTGAGGCCAATAGTGAATTGTTGATGAGAAACAATGCCCTTAGACCAGCAGGTTCAGCACCCGTACCGGAAGCTCATGAGGTCGAGCAAGATCCGACCAAGGAGTCCAACTACGCCCATGGTGATAGGAGACCACACGGCCGTGGCCGTGGTGGGTTCAAGGGGCGTAGTGGTCGAGACCAGCACCCGTACGACCGTAGGTCTGGAAACCAAAATAACCGTGGTCGTGGTTCCAGCTACGGCCGTGGGAGAGGCCAAGGAACTGGCCGTGGCCGAGGTGGCACGAATAAGCCATCTCACTCGACCAAATCTGTCTGTTACAAATGTGGTAGCACTGGACATTTCCAGAAGCAATGCAGAACTCCTAAGCATCTAATTGAGCTCTATCAAGAGAAGATGAAGAACCAGAACCCGGAGGCCCACATGGTTCATGATTCCGGCTATGATGCTGATGATGATGAGCATGAGAGAAAAAATATGGATTATGAGACTTCTGATTGTCTAAAGGACTAATCAGATTGACATTTAGTTTTTAATATTTATTTTATTGGTGTTTTATTTAAAGAATGATTGATTGGATGATTGTTTTGGATTTTGGTGTTTTAATTTATAATATGAGGTTTTATTTATATTATTCTGAGTTTATGAATTTTTATGTATAGTATGATGAATGATGTGATGAGTACACTTGTGGTGGATAGTGGTTCCAGCCATACTATACTTAAAGACAAACGGTATTTTGTGAACCTTACAATGCAAAGTGCCAATATACACACTATTGCAGGCGTGGCCAATCTCCTTGAGGGCCACGGCCAGGCTTATATCTTGATGCCTAGAGGCACTCAGCTTGAGATTAAAAATGCCTTGTATTCCCCAAGTTCAAAAAGGAATTTATTGAGTTTCAGGGACATAAGGATGAATGGTTTACACCTTGAAACATGGGAAGAAGGAATGAAAGATTTCCTTAATATAATTTCTATCACCAAAGGCATTAAGAAAGTATTAGAGACAATACCTGCAATAGCTACTGATCTATACCTTGTAAAGATCAGTATGGTCGAGGCCAATGCCTGCGACAGCTTTACTTTATGGCACGACCGGCTCGGCCACCCGGGTCATAACATGATGCGGAAAATGATTTTGAACTCTAAAGGGCACAAGTTCAAAGGAGTTGTCCCTAAGACTCTCACGTGTGATGCATGTTCACAAGGGAAACTCATGACCAGGCCATCACCAGTTAAGGTTACTAAGGAAGTTTTAAGTTTTCTGGAAAGAATTCATGGAGATATATGTGGACCAATACACCCACCTTGTGGGACATTCAGATATTTTATGGTCCTTATAGATGCATCGACCAGATGATCTCATGTATGCTTGTTATCCACACGGAATTTGGCCTTTGCAAGATTGTTAGCTCAGATCATTAGATTGAGAACACACTTTCCAGATTTTCCTTTAAAGACTATACGTCTAGACAATGCTGGTGAGTTTACATCCCAGACGTTTAATGACTATTGTATGTCCATGGGAATAAGTGTGGAACATTCCGTGGCACATGTACATACACAGAACGGCTTGGCCGAGTCCTTCATTAAACGTATACAGCTGATAGCCCGACCATTACTCATGCGGTCGAAGCTCCCGGTATCAGCTTGGGGACATGCCGTATTACATGCAGCTGAACTGATCCGCATCAGGCCATCTAGTGAGAACAAATATTCCCCATCCCAGTTGATAACGGGTCAGGAGCCAGACTTGTCCCATATAAAAACATTTGGATGTGCCGTTTATGTGACTATTGCTCCACCACAGAGAACTAAGATGGGACCACAGAGAATGATGGGAATATATGTAGGATATGAGTCTCCGACCATCATTAAGTATCTTGAGCCAACAACCGGTGATTTGTTTAAGGCCAGATACGCAGACTCCCATTTTGATGGGTCAACATATCCGTCCTTAGGGGGAGATAGCAGCCGGTTGGTAAAAGAAATAGAGTGGTCGAGACCATCTATATCCTGGGAAGATCCTCGGACAAAAGATTGTGATCTTGAGGTCCAAAAGATTGTACATTTACAAGAGCTAGCTAATAGATTGCCAGATTCATTTGCTGACCCAAACAGAGTGACCAAGTCACATGTACCGGCTTGCAATGCACCTATCAGATTAGATGTCCCAGCAGGACAGGTCCAAGTTGCTACAGAGTCTAAGCAACGTTTGAAACGTGGTAGACCTA